GAAACTGTTTGGGGCTGTAACATGCAGCATTCGAGCAGACATGGAAAAATTCAAATGAATAAAAGTAAAACAACGGTACATTTTTAGAAAAGAAGATTATTATTATCGTTATTATTATCATGTATAATGTCGTTTAACTTTAATGTTTTTTTTTTTTTTTTTTTTTTTTTTTAAATATGTAACAAAGATTCAACGTCATAAGGATATTACATTACACTTGCAGTGTGTTAAAAATTAAACAAGATTGGAAGATACAGTCTGTCCCTCCCCCGTTTCTCTCCATTTTATAAACTGTTTATACTCTGTCTCAACTCTGTCAGACGTAGTCTCTAGAAAGAAATATCACTCGCAAAAGAGAATTACTCTTTGTAAGGACGTTTTCTCGTTACACTCCATCCATTAAAAAGTGTTTTATATTAAAGATATGTTTACGTCTCGTGTTCTTCTTTTCCGATGCATGGACTCTTGCAAGAAATAAGTTTCTCCCTCGCACATCCATTCTTTTTTTCTTCCCTCTCCTTTACCAATGCAAATTTTTGAATACGTAAGCGCGTGTATGTCAGGAAAGCAAACAGATTGAAAACTGATCAGGAAGACAGGAGCGACAAATTTCAATGAACGAAGAACAAATTTTAGGCAGTGGAATTTTCCGAGTTATAGTATTTATTTATCACTGTCATCGTACAGCCCTTTTCAATAATATCCACGATTCAGTTGTCGCACTTTCTCTCTTTTCCCTTTTCTTTCTTTCTTTCTTCCCCCCCTCCCTTTCTTATAATTTGAATTATAAAGCTATACATTCAATTTTTACCTCAATATAATCTACTTACATACTTAAGGTCAAAGTTTATGTTGTTGGTAATAGTTGTTACTTTATTTTATCTTTTACTTCCTTTTCACTTTACCGCTAGTAATGGTTAGTCGTTTGCTTAGTGAAATACGCGTCACTGAGAATCTCTTTCATTTTCTTCCGAGGTATGAAATTGGAGCAGTATCTCTTGGCCAAGCATGTGTTATAAATGCAAAAAGACATAAGATCGGTGTTAGTTTGTTAGCACTCGAATATACCTATATGACTAGTTCTCTGTGTTTAACAGATCTTTCTTAAAAATATAAATTATTTACAAGGATTTCAACTAATTTCATCGAGATTTAATAACCTTGGTTTAATCACATCAATAATACCGAAGTATAGAAGGGCCGTGGCTGTATGTGTTCGATTACAGTTTAAGAGAGAAAAAAAAAAAAAAAAAAAAAAAAAAAAAAAAAAAAAAAAAAAA